GTAGTACAATCTAATTTTAGAGGTAGCATTTAACAAGAAATTAAATGTTGTGCAAAACAACAAAAAATAAATAAAATAAACAGCAGCAATGGTGTCTGAACAAAAAAAATATAACATTCACTTTGCTCTCTGCAAAAAAAGTGCTCTTTAAAAAAATAACATCCATTTTGCTGCCTTCTCTCTTGTTTCTCTCTCTGTGTGTGTGTGTGTGTGTGTGTGTGTGTGTGTGTGTTTGTGTGTGTGTGTGTGTGTGTGTGTGTGTGTGTGTGTGTGTGTGTCCGTCCAATCATATTCATCACATGAAGCAGTTATGCATTGGTGTGAAGGAATGTTAGCATGTCTACATGCTCAGCAGTCAGGCTTGCCCTTTTTTTGGTGACGATGTTTCCAGCAACAGAAGAAAGCCTTTCAGAGGGTGTTGGTGCGGCAGGTACAGCCAGACATGATTTGGCTAAAGTAGCCAGTGTGGGGAATCTCGTTGCATTATTCTTCCACCATGTAAGGGGGTCATTATCCCTTGGAATAGGTGCTTCCCCAAAGTACAACAGTACTTCTTTCCTCACTGTCTCATTTTCTCCGTCCTCACCCTGGTCAATGTTTTCATTACAATCTTCCTCCTCAGAATCTGTACCCAACAACGTGTCCAACACACAGACCTCTTCTTTGTTGGGGGACTTGCTGAGGCTTCCTGCCCCACAGTTGCCTGTTGTAGCTGTGATCTCTGCTCCCTTTTGAGGTCAAGTGCATCCCACTGTACGCTTACTTGCAGTTTCAGAGCATCCTCTGGAGAAAGGAATTTCAGTTTACGAAAACGTGGATCGAGGGCAGCAGCAATGACATATCGGACTTATGTTAAGAAGAAAAAGAAAATATCATTTCTATAGCGCCTCTCAAGATAAAAATCACGAGGCGCTTAAGCATAATTCTGCGCACACGAAGATGCATAAGAGACCTGGATGATGAAGCTCAATGGTTAAAGGACTCACGGAAGCGGTGTGAAGCGCTCCGTCACGCGTCTAGGCGGTACCGTAGGAGGCGAGCTTTCGTGGTTCGCCGCATGCTACAGCAGCGGGCTATCTAGGTGCGCACAGCGTCCCCCGGTCCCCTCCTCCTCCCCCTCCCCCTTGTCCGGAACTTTACCTCACCAGTCTGAAGCAGCCACCCTGTCCGTAACAAGTCCGGACCTGTTACTAGGGGCTTCGTCCGGTTAAATTCCGGAACACGTTATCCGGATGTTTGTATTCAGACACAAAGGTCTTACGGACAGAGTCCGGAACATTTCCGTTTTTCATGGCCTGTCTGAAGGGGGCTCAAACTTCTCTTCCAGGATGTGGAGAGCTGCAACCATGTTACTTGCAGTATCATGCACAATGGCAAGGACATTATGCAAGGAAATGTGGAATTTTTCTGCCACCTTCTCCACCCAGGAGGCAAGGTTTTCTGCAGCGTGGCGCTCTTCAACTGGGAGTGTTGTTAAATTGAAGGAGAGAAGATCCCAATTGTCATTGATGAAATGACAAGTTACTCCTAAGTAGGACTCTGTGACTAGACTTGTCCAAGCATCAGTGGTAAAGGAGATTTTGGATGAGGCATTTTTTAGTTCGTTCATTAGTTTCTCAACTGAAGTTTGATACTTTCTCTCCATCATGCTTGTAAAATGGCGCCTAGAAGGCAGAGTGTAACCTGGTTGAAAAGTGGTCAGCATTTCTTTGAATCCTTCACCCTCAACCACAGCAAGTGGTCTCATGTCTTTCAGAATCATAGACAGGACACTCTCAGTAAGTACAGCCACCTCCTGGGGGGTGCAGGGTGTTCTTTTCTGACAGTAGTCCTCCAGACTTTTCTGTTTGTTCCTGAAAACATAAATCACACAGACAGTACACAGATAAATTAAAATAATTACAAAAATATTTATGTAGAAAGCATAATATCAAAATAATAATTTGAAGATCTGTATTTCAGTGTTTTCTAAAAACATTTAATTTATAAGATTTGTTAAAAAAGAGGTTTTTATCACAAAATGCTGCACATTTTTGTAGTCATTAGATGGTGCAACTTAGATCTATAAGATCAACAAGCTGGAGGAGCATGATGTATAAAAAATAACGTTCAAACAGGATGAGGCATTAAACTTGACAATCAAGAGTCCGTTGTCATTTTGCTTTTGCAAGCACTTCAACAATATTGTAATAATGTCCACGACGGCTACATTTAGCAGGTGCTACATTGTCTTTGTTAATATTTTTACTGCGGACAATTAGCGCTCTCCCACATTTTCAGCTCTCGCCGATTCTCATAATCAGCACATGCGCATTCCGACTCATTTGGCCATCATGAGCCACGAATAAATACCAACAAACAGATAACAGCTGCTGCTATATGTTACTGCCAAGCAGCGTGGCAGCAGTGGGTCTGCTTGTGAGTGAGTGCATGGCTACGTGGGGTGTTTGGATGTTATAAAACAGCGTTAGTAAAAAAAAAGTTGAAAACTTACGGTGTTTTTTCGTTTGCAGAAGCTGCTCCTGGATGCCTTCGTTTGAGGTGCTGGTGCATAGCCGTCGTGCTTTTATGATGGGCCATTTCCACTTTACAAAGCCGGCAGACGACGGAATCGCTTCCTTTTCAGTTAAAATAGTCCCATACCTTTGAACTGCGAGTTCGGGTTGAGTGATTTAAGTCGACTGCCCCACTCATGTTGCCACTACTCGCCGCTGCCATGTTTGTTTTTGAACGTGATGACGAATCGACGCAAATTATTTGCGTCGACGTATTTTACGTGTCGACGTAATCGATTACGTCGACGCGTCATCCCAGCCCTATTACCGGCCCGGCTGGCCGGTTGGTTTTGAAGTTAATGGTCCACCCCTGCTGTGTGTGTGCGCGTGCACACGCACGCGTGTGGCTGTGTGACGGAGTTGTCTTTTTATAATATTAATGCAGTTATTTTGGTTGCAATAATTTTCATAATTTCAATGTTTATGGTTATTCAACTCTTGTTGACTGTTACGGCCTATTTGCACTGTTTCATGCTGCTCGTTGATAAGTTGTTCACTTGATTTGCGCACAACAGCTGTCCTGGGTTTTTAGGGAAACAGCTGGCGAGCCATGTTTGCACATGCGCCGTGAGCGGTTCTGGTGCCGTTTGGGCCGCAGCCGCTCGCATTTGTTTACTGTGAAGTAAAGTTGAAGTGCTGAAGTTTTGAAAACTAATTTTGAATAAAACTTGAAGAAAAACTGGCAATTGCTTGTTCATTTTAAGAGGTCTTTCATATTTTATAACATTCTATTTGATTAATCGAGTACTCGATTAATCGATAAAATATTCGATAGAGTACTCGATTACAAAAATATTCGATAGCTGCAGCCCTACAGCCGAGCATGCGTGAAGCGGCTTCTTCTCCCGGCTCTTGGAGAGTACAGACGCATTTTTTCCTCCTCCTCCCTATCTTATCCCAAGGTTCTTTGTCTGTCTCTGGGTGTACGGCTACTTCTGCATTTTTTCTGGAAACTGGAAACTGGAATTACAAAAATGAACCTGGTCAGTTGGTCACTTAACGCGATTGACAAATTGTCTCAACGATGAGAACTGGAGAAGGGGCTCCCGGGTGCCCCTCTGGGACAGAGCCAGTTGGGCATATCATGGACTCCTGGAAACAGTGGAACCTGATTTGCCTATCTCAGCTGTCTGTAGAGGATTCTGAAGACGTCTGGATATTCTTGGTGTTGGTGTCAGGTTTCCTGCTTTTTGGCCTAGGAGGCTTCCTGGCTTACCGGAAATTTAATGAGCTGTCGAGGAATATTGGCTCTTTCCCGGAGCTCAGGGATGGATTACACCGCGCTGTGAACGCACAGACTCATATAATTGTTGAGATGAGTCGTAAGCTTGGAACTTTAGCTGAGATTCATGTGTTGGCACAAAAGATGGATGCCGTCAAGGAGCGAGTGGACGAATCGGCACGGATTGGAATAGATTAATTTACGCCATTATTGAGATTTTGAGAGGTTGGGGACCAACGGGACTTTAAGACGGAGAGGAAATTATCTCTGTCTGGCCCCAAAACAATTTCTAATCTGAATCTGGTGCCCTTGAGCCTGTAAGGCTGCAACGAATACCGGTACCCTCCCCCTCAGAAGAAATGTGGAATGCTGCTATCGCTATGGCAACTCTGTCTCCCTATCCCAGCCTGGGCGGGACTGCAGGCTGTGAACGCCGCTGAATCGTTCCAGGAGTCACTGTGCCCTCCAAACCCCAACGACCTCCCTCCCCTGTCCAGACTGAGGTGACGTGCGCTGCTTATCGTGGCTGCAGTCACTGACGTGTGGAGAGTCCCAAACCCACCACCCCACCTAGTGGACACTTGTGTTGTGTGATGTCTGAAGCCTGTTGCATTTCTGTCTGAGGTGTTTTTTGCATAGCAAAGCTGCCCTCCCTGTGGAGGGTAACTCTGAAGTGCCTTTTTTTTTCCTCCACCTGAATCAATCCTCATGTAACCCCTCTGATCTCTATTACGGTAGCGCGACTCAGGGTTGCGAATGACCAGTCACCAATTTTTGTCGTGTCTTTGCCTATGTATGTCTGATCTCTGAATTGTGTGTACTGAAATTCTTAATTTCCCTCTGGGATTAATAAAGTATCTTTGAATGGTATGAGAATATGCTCCTCTAAATCTGAGACCATCGTCTTGAGTCAGAAAAGGGTAGAACGCTTTCTCCTGGTCAGACTGCTTTGCTTTCGTTCTTCAGTAGGGTGAGGGGGATGTAGCCATGGCGCTGGAATTTCAGCCTTGGTGCAACGTATCAGCTGAGTCTATGTAAGGCAACACTGTGACTCTGGAGGAAAAAGAGGTTAGCTCTACTCCATGAACTCTGGTGAGCAAATGTCCTCTTTTCCAGACTGGATCTGTCCTCAGCTGATCAGAACCAAGGCGTTGGATCTTTAATCTCCTGCGTTGTTCTGAAGCAGCATCTTAATCAGCTCTCCTGCTTTGTTTCTATTGCAGCTGTTAGCTAAACACGGCTAAAGAAAGCCTGCTACCACTTCAGGATCATCCATCAGCTGGGACTGCTTCATCGAGGATCTGGACAGCATGGACACAGGTACTGAATGAATGACTTTACTGTCTCTGTGTGGTGGGACACAAAAGTGTATCTCAGCTATGACATGGAATCTAAAATAATGGCTTGTATTTGAATAAAGCCTTCTAGTGATCCAACCCCACAACCAACAGGGAAAGTGGGTGAAGTCTTGCCCATGGGCACAACAACTGCAACAGACTGAGTGGGGCTCGAATCGGCAACCTTCTGATTAGGGGGCCGACATTTAATATCATTTTCTATGCACATTAATCAGTCCTCCTGTGTTTTATTGATGCCTTTACAGTAGGGATGTACATAGCTAACCAGTTAAACAGGACTGTAGTTCAATCTCCCGCTGACTGTATTTGCCAAATGCAGGAAAGGCCAAAGTGCCTGACGGCTGCAGACCCAGAGACTGCAGGTTGAGGCCTGCGCCGTCTCTAGTAGAAGCAGGAATCTGCAGCAGCATGTTTGACTCGAACATGCTCTTTTTCTGTGATTTTACAGGAATAGAGAGGCAATCACAGTAAAAATGCCAGGGATCGTTCTTCATGTCTAGGGCATAGCAGTAGAATGTATGAGGAAGAAATTTTACATTTCTATACATGTTGTTGTTAAACTTCCTCATAGTCACTTTAATGTCCCATAGTCCTATTTAGCTCTTTATCTCAGTGTGTTTACATGTCCACCAGAAAACCAAAGCATTGCCCTAAAAAGTCACGTCAGTTTTTTTAAATGCATGTAAACACGTTAGTCTGTCTGAAAGCAAACTCTTTCTAATCGAGCTGAAGCACCCAGATAATGCGGTAGCAATCCGATTACACTCTGCATGTAAACACGTCCAACAAGCTAATACAAGTTAGACGCTCGCATTCCAGAAGTGACAAAACTGCTGAAGTGGTCTTCTGCAAGGACCATCGTCACAAACAAACAGACACACGTAACTCCATAAAACAGGACAGTATGTACCAAGTAAGCTGTGCTGCAGCGTTGTTGTATATTCCTTCAGCCATTCGGCAGATCTTGTGCCAATTCCATCTGCTTCACTGCCGCCAGCCTCTGTTTACTGCTTGTGTTGCTATAAGCTATCTGGAAGAATCCCAAAATGAAAAGGGGCATGTCACCACCTACTGTGCCGGAGTGGCACACACTTTATTTGAGAGGCCGGTTTTCTAATGCTTGTGTAAACTAGGACAAAGACTCCCAGCTTATTGTTTGAATGCTGTAAAGCATTCAAACTATTGTATTCCTGTTTGTCTTTATCCTTTATTATTCTGCTTTTGTACATTTTTTGGCATTTAACTACTTCCACAATTCTTAAAACTATTTACACAATTTTGGTATCAAAACGTTCAGCTCGTTCAGCTTATGCCGGCAATGACTTTTGGTATTAAAATCATGCATACTTTTTGAGATATTCAGCTTTTTCTGCGATTTTTGGTCCCATTGAAATTAATGGGTTTGCTCAACTTTCAGCTAAATGCTATCACTTTTTTGAACTCTTACTCTTATAGGTTGACTTTAACCCAGAGACTTCATTCAAGTTTCAACAAACTCACCAGACTTTCAGCTATTACTGGTTAAAAAGTCTCTGATATCTATTACAGTTTTTTTTTAAATCACAGGTAGAATTTGAGGTACGGCTTGAGCTTTTCAGAAAAACTCTCAAATTATAATGGGCAGAGATAGGATCAATGACCCTCCTTTGCTCCATTTCTGGCATTGTCCTGAGAGAACCGTAGGTTCAATTGAAATGAGACGCACGCTGGCTTGCAGCTAACGGATATACCTTCGTTTTGAGCTATAACTCATGAATGTACTCCAAACATTGTGGTCGTTTTGTTCATTTCTTTGAGAATATTCAAAATAAAAAATGTCTCTCACCACTCTAAACTGAAATTTCTGCACTCTAACTTTTAACCTTCACATTTTCTGGAAACAACTCTTTCCAACACCCAGAACGTTTGGAGCATCGAAACAAATTATATCTCAAAAAGTTTGAAATTTTGTCAGCTTTTCAGAATGGGTTTCATTTTGTCCTCAAGTGTTATGGTTCTTTCTCTACAAGCCTCAGAAGTAGGAGAGACCCAGATTTTCTCCAATTGAAACACATGTTAAAAGGAACAGAGATTTTCTCCTCCGATCGGCTTCAGACAGCTAAAATGTTCTCGACATACCTTCTAAACAATTCAAAGTAGGCACACTAAAATTCACACAGATGACATCAAAGCCTTCTGCCGCTCACTTTTTGAAAATTTCCAATAGGTGCAGTGGTTTTTGAATGATGATGAGACGTTTCAGAGGTCTGAAATGACATCTGAGCAGCTGAGCACTGTTAAATGCATGATTTATGAAATCTTAAAACAAAAATTTCCACTGACCACATCTTTTATAGTACACTAATGATTTTCTCCAATTTAGTAGTTTTTTTTTTTTGCAGCTTTGAAGTGATTTCTTCGGTTTGGCTGTTATTAAATTTTTTGTGCTACAAGCCCCAGAAGAACTGTGCCAGCTTACCTCCATTTAAACCCCTTTAAAAAAAGGCACCTGTGGCTAGGGCTGGGCGATAAGGCAAAAATAGAATATCACGATTTTTCCAGTATTTTATCACGATTTCGATTTTACCACAATTTTTTATCCATGAATAGCATAACTTCAATTGCATATTAAAGAAGAGAAACATTGAATAAATAAACATTTATTCATATTAGGCATAATCAACACAGTGCTAACACACTTATATTTTAAACTCACACCAGAGATGATAAAAGCCCTGAGAGAAACAATTACAAAAATCAGTTTTTCTCGTTTTTCAAGTAACTTAACATAAATTAAAATCGTAAACATATTTAAAGTGCAAACATGTCAATTGCAAACGTATTGTGCAAACATTAACTTGTTCAAAATACAATGTAGCTCCCAGTTGCTCATGTAGTGGACAGTTAAGCTCAAATAAGGCTCTGATGTGCGGCTGGACCAGAGATCGCTTGTGGTAGCAAATAACTGCACATTCGGAATATTTTCTGCAACTCTCACTTTGCATTCAGCGTACATGCGTGGAATGGCGGTGTTTGAAAAATACTTGCGGCTGGAAAACTCGTAGCGCGGATCCAATGTTTTTATCATTTTCTTAAATCCCACTCCTACTGTTTGCACGGGACACAAATCTTTAACCAAGTGGTACGTCACTGCATCTGTCACGCTGTTCCATCGTCTGCTGTCTCTGTCGTAGGGAGTGAGTTTTGTGAGGGTTTCTATTAGCATTTGCTGCCTGGAAGAAGCACTAGCCGCTGCCGTACTAGGAGAGGATGCTTGAAGCTCATGTGATTATGCATAGCAGATGTTGACAGATGTTTCATATCTCTGCCTCTGCTGATTTGACTTTGGCACACATTACATATGACTTTGGTTTTATCTGCAGCACTGACTGTGAAGTGCTTCCACGAGAACTTGAGCATGTTTTTTTTGGCTGGTGGAGGACCAAGTGATGGCTCAGCAGCAGCCACGCTTGTTTCTATTGGGTTGCCCAAATCCATGTGGAGAGGTTCAGCTAAGTTAATGAGTGACGCGAAGCTATGCTAAGGCTAACTAGCCTACAACTTGCATCTTGCTGTCTGCAAGACAGAGTATCTTAAATCTATCAAAAAACTCCCACAAGTCCAGTCAGTTTGGCACAACTACAAGCTTTGTTTTAACCTTTTTAACTGAACGTTAACATTACTCTGTCAACAGCCTATTGTCTAAATTACCGAGCTAACAGAGCTACGTAAACAGAGCGAACATGAGGGCACTCGACTGCGGACGTCAATAATGCTGCACAATAGAATAATCCCCGGATCAAACTCCGCTTCCCGAAAGTTATAAACTGCCTCCGGAACCCAGTTACAGTACAAAAATCTTCTCAACAAAAATAGTGATGCAGTTAAGTCTTTTCTCGCTCAGTCAAGCTGTGTGGGGCAGTCTGTCAGCCAGCGCAACCTTATGTAACCCCCACCCCGGCCGACTCCTGAACGTCACTCACTCATCCGGGAAAGCACTGCGTTCTCATGAAGAAATGCAGCTTTTTGATATAACGTTTTTCTTGCTCCCGAGAACAAATATTTTTTTCAAGTATTTGTTCAAAATAAGCATTTGTAAAAAACACGTTATTTGTGTCTTTCCGAATACCGTATTCGGGTTCGGCTCCACCCCTAATTGTTTGGGATGCCTTCTTTTCAAGTGATTAAACAAGTTTGTGGTGTTGCCATCACTTGCCTTGACGCTCTCCTTGCAAACTTTGCAAATGACGTTTCGCTGCTCTTTGTCATCTGGTGAAAAACCAAACCAGTTCCATATAATGGACGAGGCGCTCCTCTTCGGAACAAAAACCTCGTTGTCGCTCTCAGCCGCGGCCGAAGACATATTTGTTCACACACATGTGAAAACAAGTGGGGCACTAATATATTACTATGACTCACTCTGATTGGTTAAGGGTCAAACAAAGGCGTGTCATTCGCCTGAGGTAAGTTCCCTTTTCATTCAGAGGCAGAAATTCAACAGCAGAGCTGTGAATCGTGATAAAAAGGTCTCTCAAAAATGACAGACCGTCAGATGTGTAGATCGTAAAACGGTCTAAAATAGTCATATCGCCCAGCCCTGCCTGTGGCCGACAGACAGCTGAAATGTTCTCCTCATAACTTCTAGAACTTTTGTGATAGGCACACAAGACTTCACACACATGACCACCAAAGCCTTCTGCCGCCCACGCTTTTTGGTTTTTTCAAATTGGTGCAGTACTTTTCGAATGGTGATGAGAAGTTTGACAGGTCCAATTTCACTTCTGAAGGACAGATTTAAAGGCTTGTCTCATTAACAGGAGTACAGCTGCATGTCTCAAACAGCCGGGGGAAAAGGCGGGAAAACAATGCTGCTCTCTGATTGGCTGAGAATGTTCAAGCATTTTCTGTCCAAGCAGGATCGAGCACCCACACATATGATGCATCAAATCGACCGGCTTGGTCTCAGGAATCTTGTATTAAATT